AAGAGGCTGTGGTCAGGGTGAAGCTAAAAGGAAGAACACAACAGATAAGCTTTAAAAAAAAGAAGCAACACTTGGCAGTTTCAAAGGAATACTATAAGATCAATTACATGACTATTGTGTTAGCAGCAAAAACATTATCGAATCATAGAGAGATCTTAATATGTTGTATTTATCTCAATTCTTACCTGAATGTCCTGCAAGCAGATCTCATACGGATCCAGTGATATCTGGATGCGGGGCTCCAAAAGCTTCTTCAATTGCCAATGGGGCTCATTGATGTCAATATCTTGTTGAATCAGATCTGACGCAGTAATGGTCTGCTCCTCAACACTACATGTACAAGAGAGGGGGGGTGGATTAGTGTTTATTTGCTTCATGTGCAAGAGTATGCCATTCAAATTATCCTCTTCCTGCTTACCCTTCCTCCAGGCATGCCTGCTTCTTCCTGCTCATCTATCTCGATCTCTATCATTTCTTCAGGTTCACCTTTAGACATTATGTTCTACGCAGAGAAAAAAACCTGTAGGAAATTAAAAAAAGGTTGCGTTACTAATGCTTAGATACACTACATACTATAGCCGACCATAATCAAAAACACATTCACACCAGGTCAATGATGATGTCTTCAACGTATGCCATACAATACTGTAAGACAAAGAAATAAAGAAAAGTGTCACATTTCAAATGGCACTAATGTTATTTGGGAGGGTCAGACTGTGACTACCAAGATCCTGGCAGACCTCATGCTGAATGAACATACTATATTTGAGAGGTCCAAAATTGTAATCGATACAGCAGGATTCGCAGGAACAGTTTGAATGTTGGAAATTAATGCAGACTACTTTTCATATATTTCGGAGCTGCTCTCTAAACAATTCATATTTGCAAGAGATTCAATTAAACCCTTTTTCTTAACACTACATATTGATAAATAAAAACTAGTGGAAAATGGACAACATACTTAGGGGATGTGACCTACTGTTTTATATTGTTCCATGCTCACTGCTTGTAGCACTTCGGGATTTTAACTCATATATGAAGTGCGTTATAAATGAAACCCATTATTATTATTATTATTATTATTATTACTGTAGTTGGAAAACCCCTCAATCAATGTTTTGGTACATGCAATCTGTTGTACTACTCTTTTTTTCCCTCTTTAACCTGAAACTACCAATGAAAACCATTGCAATAAGAAATGGTAACCATGCATAATAGTTGTTTTACCTAATGCTATAAATATTGAATTATATATAGAACCTTTATTTAGTCAGGAAAATCAATTAAGAACAAATTCTTATTTTCAATGATGACCTGAATATGTATATATATATATATACATTAAAAACATTAGCCTTAAAACAAAAGTTTCACTCTATGGCACAGACACACTATTGCCCACTGAAGGAAAATAACTGCTTGTGTTTTTGTATTTATTATTCTGTGATTGGAAGGTTTGTGAGCACAGACAACTAAAAGTGCATACAAAAAGTTTAAATAATTGAGGTTTCGATACGTGAGAATATTCCGGCTGAAGTGTGTATTTACGTGGTGCTGGCTAAAGTTTGCAGTTGGGGGGGGGGGGGGGTTCTACTATAGAGGCCTCTTGCCTCGACTCCTCATTGTCCGCCTACAACAGTTCACTGACTGCTAACGTTAGCCAACTCGAGGGCGAGGCATTGGTTTCTAAAGGCCAACTGGTAGGCCATTAGTTACATTAGGTGTTACCACGTATAACTACACATAATGAACTGATGTTGAAAAATCACATAAAAGTAAAATGTATACACCAGGCTACACGTGTCGACACACTGAAGCTTGTGTACAGTGAGCCGAGTAGCTACTATTTGCACGCGAATGCAGCACGGGGCGAGGCTGCCGTTACACAACCATTGCTCCCACGTGAGAAACAGCCGTTAAAATACCACAGAAACACATCGCGCTTCATAACCGTAACAAATCGTTGGTTAAATCCCACTTTAACTCTGCATGTAGAAAAGTTTTAAAAAACGGAAATAGAATAAACGGAAACAAAACAGCATAGGCAAATGGAAAGGAGCCGGAAATCCTGGCTAAGGTTTACAGCGTTACAAGACTTCCGAGAGCAGCCGCCATAAATGCGACACGAGCTTCAGGAGAAAAGAGCAGCAGCGGTGTTGCTATGACACCTAAACATCGTTCAGTTACATACTGACTGCAACAATACGGAGAAGTACGAACTAAAAAAGCAGTTTTAATCGTGTCTGGACGTATACGCACTGTGTTTGAGGCTGGACGGCGATCAGAGGCGCGGCAGCAGTCTCTCCTCTTCACTGCAGATAGCAACCCGGCTAACACTAAACTGGTACAACAGAGATTGTCTTAAACTATACTCCGGCTGTTTTAATCTTCCATATGCAGAAATGGCACAAGTAGCAGCGTTGGCCTAGCTTCAAGTTGGCTAATGCTCTGTGAGTGTGTTTTTATGACTGCCTGAAGGTAGGCGGCCTCTTCCTACTAGGCTAGGAAATAAACAACAGCTAGCAGGCTAGTAAGCCACAAAATAGCGGGAAGAGTCTAAAGCACGGCAAACAGACCCCTTCACATGGCTGCGATTTAGTACATTTCCTCTTAAATAAGCAGCGCAATCTGCGAATATCCATACCTGTGAAAATGCAGGCCTTGAGAGATGTTTGATTGTGTTCAACTGTGGTAGATAGGCAGCCAAATTTCACACAGTCGAGTCGTATCATGCAAGTTTTTGGTCAACACACTCTGGGGAGGGGCGGAGACTAACTGGCAAGACAGTTACCCTACACTTGTATGGAAAATACAAAATGTGACTAGTGTTTACTTGTGTAACGTTTCCATAGTTTGGGGTTCTCAATACAAATGTGTGTCCAGCATAATGTTTTAATAACAAACATTTTTTTCCCATCAGCTTTGAATTTCATGTTAGTGGTCCATTTAAATGGCCAACACACTTTCCAGTTCTTCAACCATATTATTCCCATCAACTTAAGTTTCAAAGGCTTTATTGTCATATGCACAGTAGCTACAGTGTGGTTATGGTAATAGATAATGGAAAATAAATGTCACAAACCCAATACAAATAGTGCAAGACCAATGTGCAAGAAATGCAGGAGAAGTGAATTATATACATGTCAAGTAAAAAACAACAAGCTAAATGCTGCATAGGGTCTCTATGCATGTACATAGCATAAGATAAACAAGAACAGAATGTAAAATGAAATACTGTACAGTGGAATAAATACTGATTGTTGTAGTAATACATACATTTGTGAGAGACTGAAATGCTGTGAAGCCTCAATTGACTAAAGTCATATTTATGTTGAACTTCTTTGTGTTTCCTGCAGACTGTTAACGTTAAAAGAAGCATTAGGTATAATTACAAGCAAGATATGAGGAGGATGGGCGGATGGGCGGGGTGATAGCCCACTATGCGATACTGGGGCAAAGATGAGCCTCTATTTAGCCTCACTCTGCACACATTTGGTCACGGTCACACAAACCAAAATGTTTTCCTGTTTGAAAAAGTGTGCACCATGTAAGCACAACATTTTAAATGTATTTGACACAGGCCCCCTTGACAAAATCTCAATACAGGAGCCACATTAATATTGAGGCCCCTAACAATTCAGTACCTGGTCCCTTGGGGGCTAGGGGGTTTGGAGTTCTGGGGCAGTTTCCCTTTTTCTGTTTCGTAATCCAACTTTATTTTTGCAATATACTACTTTATATATATATATATGTATATATACTATATAATAGTTTTTTATCGGTACATGTTTTGGATAAAACACATTAATACCAAGTACTATGGTAATTTTGTAAATAATAATGAAAACGTCTCTTAATTTTCCTTGATATACAGTATCATGACTCTTGTATCTGTTGAATGTTATGTTTGTACTGTTTCATGTTAGTTCATCTTATTAATCTAGTTAAATATTATATAAAGCTAGTGTCTCTACTCTCTAGATGTGCTGATGATGGTTTCTTTTTGTGGATGATTTGTAGTCAGTCAGGACTTCACTTTTTATCAATTGTTCCTAAATAAAGTGCAAGAGATAGTTTAACTAATAAATGTATCTTGATAAAAAAAAATTGGTCATGTTTCTGTTTTTACATGACCTGTTCCTTGTTTTTGTATGTCTTATGTTCATGTCTTCCATAATGATGCTTCCCTCCCTGGAGATCACAAGGATGTATGTTATAACATCTTTATAAAATAATGTCATTACATTTAAATATCCATAATATTGAAAGTTGTTGCTTTAATGAGCAGGTGGTATTGCACACTCACTTTTACTGTAAGTCCCTCAAGTTCTCAGCAACACCAATACTCAGGCCTTGTTTGGGTGCCACTCCCTTAAAAAAAACCCTTACATTCAAAGGAATCTGGTAGCCTACTTTACCTTCTAATGCATATTTGTCACTGAATATATAATACATGACAACAAATTATTTAAGAGGTAAAATATTTAATGATTCTACAAATTCAAACAAAAGAGGACTTTAAAGTGTGGAAAAAGCTTTTGTTTCGAAAAGCACTGTAGACACGGAAGTGAGGAAATGGACCGTCCAGGTGTGTGTGCGCGCTGCCCTTCAAAATAAAGGCCATCAGGTTTAAGTTTTGATTTCTAAACTACCTTATCAGTCGAGAAGTCTGCACAAAAAAGACAATCTGCATTATATTTTTTTAAATCATTTTCTTTGATTAGTAATAATGGTAAATCGATATTCTTCATGATGCAGTTTATAGTTAATGTATGTTATGCTTTTCTCAGCGAAACATAAACCGATGAAGCCTAATTACTAGCTAGCTACCATAAATAAATCCAACGAATTGATAATAGGATAAGATAACATTACAATGACCACGTGTAATGAATATACTTTTGCATATTTCAATAATTTGAGCAAGTTTTGTGGGGAAAAAAACACATTTTTAGCGCAGTTATATGTGTGGAGACATTTACTCTGAAGGAGGAGGACGGAAGCCTTGACGCTGCTGCTGCTGCTGGTTGAGCGCAGGCTAGCCAAGATGGCGGAATACTTGGCGTCCATTTTTGGGACAGAGAAAGATAAGTAAGTATTTATCTGTTATTAAGTCATTGTTAAGCAATGTGTTCAATAATCACTTCTTGCACCTGCTTTGATGACTAATAATGTATACAGTAGCGTTTGTAGACTCTATCTGGACACGTTTCACCGGCTCTAACAACTAGCAGCTAGGCTAAATGCTAGCACGCTGGCTAGCGTTGTAAAATACCGCGCCGCGACTGTTAGCCAACATCTGGCTTCTGCTGAGCATTTCTGGGATGGTTAGAATAAAACGATTACAACGAGTTTGTTTTTGTGAATACAAATCTCTTAACCAATTAAATACACTAACTACTCTCTACTATTGGAGTTGGCTAATGATACTTAGCTACTTAAGGAAACTCATAAGAAGCCTTTGTTACAGTAGGTCATACCCGGATTGTCATTATCCAACATTAAACAAGCTAATCACAATTGTATCCAAATAACAAATTGTACCAAACGCCATAGCATTTAATTGCACAGTGTTTCTTTTGGTTTTTGGTTGCCGATATTACGCCAAATCACAAGTTACGTTAATGAATGGGTGCAAGTGTATCTCCCCGCTTCACTATTAATTAATTTCAGGATCGGTTTCTCCAAACGGATAGCTCTCCTTTAATCATATACGAAAGTTTAGAAAAAACTTAATTTAACCATGTCGGTCCAAAACAATATATTTTTGAATGAGTCCTGAACAAGATAGGACCTGTGGAGCATTTCAAACTACATACACGCGTAAATTCAAACGTACATCAGCAACCCAAGAATGAAAATATCGTTTTTAATCATATTTGTAAGCATAGCAAGATTTTATTTGGGTACCTCTCTGTGACCAAAATATGCATGTTTTCCTAGTTAAACTCAGCTCAAAAACTAGTCTGTTTGTATTACAAAGTAGCTTCACATATACGAGCACTAGGTTTTTGTATATGTGGTGCATACAAAGACACAGAAAGAAGAATACACACTGATAGACCTGAAACTGAAACTAGCAGATTCATTGGTAAATATCAAGGGGCTGGTAGATTTGCTTTTCTTACCAGCTAAAAAACTCAAGGATAATCCCTTAACTGGCAGGTCAAATGTGATAATATGCTTGCTATTTAGCCCGTGGACAAGAAACCCAAGCCACATAACCTTTAGCAAACATGGAGACAGGGTCAAGAGAATGCTTTTGTTTACTTCATCTGCATTTATTGTGTCTTTCTCCCTAGGGTCAACTGCTCTTTTTATTTTAAAATTGGTGCCTGCCGACATGGCGACCGCTGCTCCAGATTACACAATAAACCAACATTCAGCCAGGTAAGATTATTTATAAATGTTTATTTCAAAGTATTGTTATGATAAAAATGATACAGACCAGAGCTTTTATTTCTCATGTCTTGTGTATATATAGGACTATAAGATTGTCTAAGTTTTAACTGTGACTCACACATCTTATTTGTCAGTTTTCTATGCTGTGGACACATTGTGTGATCATTACTAGAAAATAAACACAGCAGTTTAATACCCAGCCCCTATCCAAACAAATTGTTCCAATAATTTTATTTTTTCTGTTTCAGACAATTGCCCTCCTGAACATTTACAGGAACCCTCAGAACAGTGCCCAGTCTGCTGATGGCCTCACCTGTAAGTGTTTCTCTGGATTTTCAAGCCAATTCTTAAAAAGCAAGAGCATGTTTTTATAAAGTGTACACAACAATTGTTTTTTTCATCTTATCGATATTTTAATGATAAATAAAGTGAAAGAAAGGCCAACAGTCTTTGAGGGTTGTTCAGGTGGAAGTCCTATGATCCGATGTCAGCATTTTGAGTGGCTGAAACTACTTAATGCAGGCTTGTCATTGTTGCATGAAAAATGTATTTGTTGAATCACTGGCATTGAAAAGAAAGGACATAATATATCTGTTTTTTTAAATTCTCTTTATAACCACAAGGTGCCATCAGTGACATGGAGATGCAGGAGCACTATGATGAGTTTTTTGAGGTAAGTTCTGAATATTTTCCTCAAACCCCAACCACACCACTGTAGCTGATACATTCTCTTTGAGGAAATGATTCAACAAACCTTGTTTTAAAATGGGTTACACCTTTTACAGTATGTAGCTGTTGATGACATAATAATAGGCCTGTTTAAAAATACATACATCAAGTATCACATTATGGCGGCTGTACTATTTTGCGTAAACAGACCCAACTATCTTTATATATTACATTTGTAGCAGTCATAAGGTAGAAACAAAATAAGAATGATTCAACAATCATTCTATTACTTTTCTGGACTGAAAATCAACAATGTAACTACTACTCATGATCATCTATGTCATTTTTGTCTTTCTTAACCTTACAGGAGGTCTTCACAGAGATGGAGGAAAAGTATGGAGAGGTGGAGGAGATGAACGTGTGTGACAACCTCGGTGACCACCTAGTTGGAAATGTGTATGTCAAGGTGAGCATCGGTTCTAAAAACTACATATATTACCACTGCTTTAATACCAAGGTTGTTAGCTTAGAAACAGAGACTGAGTTCTATCAACTACTCTCCATATGTCTCCTGTAGTTCCGTTATGAAGAAGATGCGGAGAAGGCTGTGATAGACCTGAATAATCGGTGGTTTAATGGACAGCCCATCCATGCTGAGCTGTCTCCCGTAACAGACTTCAGAGAAGCCTGTTGTCGCCAATACGAGATGGGGTGAGTGCTATGTGATTGCATGTATCCTATTTAATGATTAACCAATATCAAGGATTCATACCTCATGGTTACCATTTTGATTCTTTTACATCACAACAAGGAAGTAGGCGTCAGCTGCAGAATACCACTTTAAACATAATGTCTGGTCACTACTATATCCCTGAACCCACTTCCTGTTAACTTAACTCATTTTTATATTTACCAAGCGTGTCAACATTTATCTTGTTTTATTTTAACTATAAACTGAAACAGAATCTCTCAGGTATCCCCTTATACAATTCACATCACATTTTTTATATTAAATAGTAGGGATGCACCGATCGATATCGGCCGATACTCACTCTCTGCCGATCGATCGGTGCTCTCTAAAAATGCCGATCACGAGAGCCGATCGCATGATGTAAAATACATGACACTTTTCTCTGTGCGCAGCAAAACAAGCTTGCAAAAATGGCTTCGCGAGTCTGGCAGTATTTTAAGGTGTCCGAAAAGGACAATAAAATAGCGGTATGCAACGTGTGTGAAGCAGAAATCCTGCAGCTCCACCTGTTGTGACGGACCGGTGAGCGGAGCGAAACACACAGAGTTAGACCTAACACACTTAGCTATTTTATCTACCTCTGGAACAAGCTAAACTAGTTATAAATATATGTATTCTTCACTGTCGGGTCACTCATTACTGGATCAGTGAGCTGCATGAGATACTGACAGGCTGTCAGGAGAGAGAGAG